GCAGTGTGTGGAATAGTCAGTGCAGTGTGTGGAATGGTCAGTACAGTGTTGTGAATGGTCAGTGCCATGTGGGTTGTGGTCAGTGCAGTATGCAGTGTGTGGAATAGTCAGTGCAGTGTGTGGAATGGTCAGTGCAGTGTATGGAATGGTCAGTGCAGTGTGTGGAATTGTCAGTACAGTGTATCGAATGGTCAGTGCAGTGTATGGGATGGTCAGTGCAGTGTATGGAATGGTCAGTGCAGTGTGTGGAATTGTCAGTACAGTGTATCGAATGGTCAGTGCAGTGTGTGGAATGGTCATTGCAGTGTGAGGAATGATCAGTACAGTGTGGGGAATGGTCTGTGCAGTGTATCGAATGGTCAGTGCAGTAAATGGAATCGTCCGTACACTGTGTGGAATGGTCAGTGCAGTGTGTGGAATGGTCAGTGCAGTGTGCAGTGAATGTAATGGTCAGTGCAGTGTATGGAATGGTCAGTGCAGTGAATGGTATGGCCAGTACAGTGTATCGTATGGTCAGTGCAGTGTGTGGAATGGTCAGTGCAGTGTGAGGAATGGTCAGTGCAGTGTATCGAATAGTCAGTGCAGTATGCAGTGTGTGGAATGGTCAGTACAGTGTGTGGAATGGTCAGTGCACTGTATGGAATGGTCAGTGCTGTCTGTGGAATGGTCAGTGCAGTGTGTGGAATGGTCAGTACAGTGTATGGGATGGTCAGTGCAGTGTGTGGAATGGTCAGTGCAGCGTGTGGAATGGTCAGTGCAGTGTATGGAATGGTCAGTGCAGTATACAGTGTGTGGAATGGTCAGTACAGTGTGTGGAATGGTCAGTGCAGTGTGGGGAATGGTCAGTTCAGTATGCAGTGTGTTGAATAGTCAGTGCAGTTTGTGGAATGGTCAGTGCAGTGTGGGGAATGGTCAGTGTAGTGTATGGAATGGTCAGTGCAGTGTGTGGAACCAATAAAAGTTTTTTTCAGAGAAATACTCAAATTGAGGGAAATGACTTTTTGACCAAAGTAACTAACGTGAAGGTATTAATTTCAGTGTTGAATCAGAACAACAGCCAAACCTCTGTCCAGTTCTCTTTTCTCGTTATGTTTTTGTGGAGGACAGCTGTTAATATTAGTTTTTGGTTCATCTCCTCTATACACAAGTCATATTTTTTCACTTGCTCTGTTACCATCTTGTTTTGCCGCGTGCTATCATCCGTTTTATGATTGTGTCAGCCCCTCCACGCCCTCATCAGGGAACTTTCACTTGAGCTCTCCCCTCAGGATATTCCTAGTGTCTGCACTATGTTCCAACCTGCTCAATCCCTTTTGACATCCAATCTGAAAAAGTGGTTCATCCCAATACACTTTCTCTCCACTTTGTTCTCACACTCGCTGCCAGGAACTGCTCAGGTTTTCCACCAGCTTCTGTTAATGTTTCAGATTCCAGCAAAGACAGTCTTTTGCCTCAGTCTTGCTTTTAGAATAGGCTCAAATTCACAAATCACTTGCCAGCACTTCAACCCATCACCAGATCCCCCAATAATACAAGATGCATCACCAGATCTCTGAACAATACAGACCCATACCAAATCCCCCAACACACTTGACTCATTACCAAATCATCTCTCCCTCCTAACTACCAGATTACCCAACACTACAAACCCTCCAACAGATCTACAAGCAATGCAAGCTCATCACTAGAGATCCACTACAAGATCCCCCTGTACTCACTACCAGATCCCACATCACTAAGACCAACTATCAGGTTATCACACACTACAAACTAACACCAGACCCTTTGAAGCTAGAGAGCCTAGCGCTAAAGACCCACCACTAGATCCCTTGTCATTACTGATGACACCAAAATAAATGGTGTAATCGGCAGGGAAGAGGCTTATCTGACAGTACAATTGTACTGTGAGGTGTTCCATTTTGGTAAGGTAAATCAGGGCAGGACTTATACAGTTAATGGTCGGGCCCTGGGGATTTTTGCCAAACAAAGAAACCTAGGGTTGCAGGTGTACAGTGTCTTGAATGTAGAGTTGCAGATAGACAAGGGGTTGAAGAAGGCATTTGGCATGCTTGCCTTCATTGGTCAGTGCATTGAGTGTAGGAGTTGGGACAACATGTACTATACAGAACATTAGTGACGCCTCTTTTAGAATACTGCATTCAATTCTGGGCTCCCTGCTATGGGAACATTGTTTTAAACTTGAGAGTGTTCAGAAAAGATTTACAAGGATGTTGCCAGGGTTGGAGAGTTTGAGCTGTAGAGAGAGGCTGAATAGGCTGGGACTATTTCCCCTGGAGCATGGGAGGCTGAGGGATGACCTTATAGAAGTTTATAAAATCATGAGGACATGGATAGGGTGAATAGCTAAGGTCATTTTCCCAGGGTAGGGGAGTCCAAAACTAGAAGGCATAGGTTTAAGGTGAGAGGGAAAAAATATAAAAGGGGCCTAAGGGGCAGCTTTTTTCACACAGAGGATGGTGCATGCATGGACGGGGCTGCCAGAGGAAATGGTGTAAGCTGGTACAATTATGACATGTAAAAGGCATCTGGATGGGTACATGAATAGGAAGGGTTCAGAGGGATATGGGCCAAATGCTGGCAAATGGGACTAAATTAGTTTAGAATATCTGCTCGGCAAGGATGGGTTGGTTTCTTCATAGTTTCATAGAATCCCTACAGTGTGAAAATAGACCTTTCGGCCTAACAAGTCCACACCGACCTTCAGAGTAGGCAATGGGTAGGCGATGGCCTAGTGGAATTATTGCTAGACTATTAATCCAGAAATCCAGCTGATGTTCTGGGGACCCGGGTTCAAATCCCACCACGACAAATGGTAGAACTGGAATTCAAAATAAAAGTCTGGAATTAAGAATCTACTGATCACCATGAAATCATTGCTGATTGTCAGAAAAACCCATTTGGTTCACTAATGCCCTTCAGGGGAGGAAATCTGCCGCCCTCACTTGGTCTGCCTACATGTGAGTCCAGACCCACAGCAATGTGGTTGACTCTCAACTGCCCTCTGAAATGGCCTAGCAAGCCACTCAGATGTACCAATCGCTACAAAGACTGAAAGAAATGAAACTGGACAGATCTCCTGGCATTGACCTAGGCACTGGAAAAGACAACAGCAGAAACAGCCCTGTCGACCCTGCAAGGTCCTCCTCACTAACATCTGGGGGTTAGTGCCAAAATTGGGAGAGCTGTCTCACAGACTAGTTAAGCAACAGCCTACCATAGTCATACTCACAGAATCATACCTTACTGACAATGTACCAGACACCACCATTACCATCTCTGGATGTGTTCTGTCCCACCAGCAGGACAGACCCGCAGAGGTGGTGGCACAGTGGTATACAGTCGGGAGGATGTTGCTCTAGGAGTCCTCAACATTGACCCCTTGAAGTCTCGTGGCTTCAGGTTAAACATTGGCAAGGAAACCTCCTGCTGATTACCACATACTGTCCTCCCTCAGCTGATGAATCAGTGCTCCTCAATATTGAACAACACTTAGAGGAAGCACTGAGGATGATAAAGGCACAAAATGTACTCTGGGTGCGGGATTTCAATGTCCACCACCAAGAGTGGCTTGGCAGCAGTACTACTGATCGAGCTGGTCGGGTCCTACAGGACATAGCTGCTGGACTGAGTCTGCGGCAGGTGGTGAGGGAACCAACAAGAGGGAAAAACATACTTGACCTCACCCTTACTAATCTGCCAGCTGCAGTTGCGTCTGTCCATGACAGTATCGGTAAGAGTGACCATCGCACAGTCCTTGTGGAGACAAAGTCCCGCCTTCACAGTGAGAGCAACCTCCAGCGTGTTGTGTGGCACTATCACCATCCTAAACAGACTTCACACAGATCTAGCAGCTCAAGACTGAGGCGCTGTGAGCCATCAACAGCAGCAGAATTGTACTCCAGCACAATCTGTAAGTTCATGGCCCAGTATATGCCCCACTCAATCATTACCATCAAGCTAGGGGACCAACCTTGGTTCAATGAAGATTGCAGGAGGGCATGCCAAGAGCAGCACCAGGCATACCTGAAGATGAGATGTCAACCTGGTGAAGCCACCAAACGGGACCATTTGCACGCCAAACAGCGAAAGCGGCAAGTGATAGACAGAGCTAAGCAATCCCACAACCAATGGATCAGATCTAAACTCTGCAGTCCTACCACATCCAGTCGTGAATGGTGGTGGACAATTAGACAACTCACTGGAGGAGGAGGCTCTACAAAAATCCTCATCCTCAATAATGGGAGAGCCCAGCACATCAGTGTAAAAGTTAAGGCTGAAGCATTCGCAGCAATCTTCAGCCAGAAGTGCTGAGTGGATGATCCAGCTCGGCCTCCTCCAGTGGTTCCCAGCATTATAAATACCAGTCTACAGCCAATTCGATTCACTCCATGTGATATCAAGACACGGTTGGAGAAATTAGATACTGCAAAGGCTACCGGCCCTGACAACATTCCGGCAATAGTACTGAAGACTTGATCTCCAGAACTTGCCGCTCCCCTACCCAAGCTGATCCAGTTACAACCCTGGTATCTACCCGACAATCTGGAAAATTGCCCAAGTATGTCCTGTACACAAAAAGCAGGACAAATCCAACTCGGCCAATTACTCCCCCATCAGTCTCCTCTCGATCATCAGTAAAGTGATGGAAGGTGTCGTCAACAGTGCTATCAAGCAGCACCTGCTCAGAAATAACCTGCTCAGTGATGCCCAGTTTGGGTTCTGCCAGGGCCACTCAGCTCCTGACCTCATTACAGCCTTGGTTCAAACATGGACGAAAGAGCTGAATTCCAGAGGTGAGGTGAGAGTGACAGCCCGTGATATCAAGGCTGCATTCGACCGAGTGTGGCATCAACGAGCCCTAGCAAAACTGGAATCATGGGTATCAGGGGGCAAACTCTCCGGTGATTGGAGTCATACCTGACACATAGGAAGATGGTCGTGGTTGTGGGAGGTCAATCATCTCAGCTCCAGGACATCTCTGCAGGAGTTCCTCAGGGTAGTGTCCTAGGTCCAACCATCTTCAGCTGCTTCATCAATGACCTTGCCTCCATCCTAAGGTCAGAGGTAGGGATGTTCGCCGATGATTACACAATGTTCAGCACCATTCGTGACCCCTCGGATACTGAAGCAGTCCGTGTTCACATGCAACAAAATCTGGACAATATCCAGGCTTGGGCTGACAAGTGGCAAGTGACATTCGTGCCACACAAATGCCAGGCGATGACCATCACCAATAAGAGACAATCTAACCACTGCCCCTTGACATTCAATGGTGTCACCATCACTGAATCCCCCTCTAGCAACATCCTGGGGGTTACCATTGATCAGAAACTCAACTGGGCTCACCATATTAACATAGTGGCTACAAGAGCAGGCCAGACGCTAGGAATACTGCAGCAAGTAATTCACCTCCTGACTCCTCAAAGCCTGATCGTCATCTACAAGGCACAAGTCAGGAGTCTGATGGAATACTCCCCACTTGCCTGGATGCGTGCAGCCCCAACAACACTCAAGAAGCTTGAAACCATCCAGGACAAAGCAGCCTGCTTGACTGGCACTACATCCACAAGCATTCATTCCCTCCACCACCAACACTCAGTAGCAGCAGTATGTACTATGTACAAGATGCACTGCAGAAATTCACCAAAGATCCTCAGACAGCACCTTCCAAACCCATGACCACTTCCATCTAGAAGAACAAAGGCAGCAAATAAATGGGAACACCACCACCTCCAAATTCACCTCAAAGTCACTCACCAGTCTGATTTGGAAATATATTGCCGTTCCTTCACTGTCACTGGGTCAAAATCCTGGAATTCCCTCCCTAATAGTGTTGTGGGTCAACCCACAGCAGGTGGACTGCAGCGGTTCAAGAAGGCAGCTCACCACGACCTTCTGAAGGGCAACTAGGGATGGGCAAGAAATGCTGGCTAGCCAGCGATGCCCACATCCCACAAATGAAGAGAGAAAAAAACAAATCCCCCTAATCTGCACATCCCTGAACACTACAGGTAATTTAGCATGGCCAATCCACCTAGCGTGCACATCTTTGGACTATGGGAGGAAACTGGAGCACCCAGAGGAAACCCACGCAGACACGGGGAGAACGTGCAAACTCCAAACAGACAGTCGCCTGAGAGTGAAATGTAACCCAGGTTCCTAGCGCTGTGAGGCAGCAGTACTAACCACTGAGCCACCATGTGCTGTAAAACTCCATGACTCTATGATTCACCACCAGATCCCTGGATCACTACTGTCTAAAGTGTAGTCCATTGTGTAGTAATACAGCAGAGCTGTAGTACAATGCAGTTTATCTCTCCATGCTTTCTCATTTCATTGTTAGGGATGGAACCTCATGTGTTCATGTGACAGCGGAGTATGAGGTGCAAGACACTCCGGGACACTATGTATTTAACTCCACTACAGGTAGGACAAAGCTCTCAATTCAAATCAATTTGGAATTGTATCGAACATCATCCATGTCTGAAACTGCTTCACTGAGGCATGAAGGAAAATATGAAACAGGAGAGATGGCCAAATGGATATTGAATGGAGTGATATGAACAATATTCAATAGGATGGCATGAAGTAGTCTGACTGGAGATATTTGAAGGGCATTGAATGGATGCCATGAAGGATATACAGGATATTTAATAGAGTGACATGAAGGAGTGATATGAACATTATTGAATGGGGTGATATTAAGGACTTTGTACGGATGATATTAAGGTAATTGCGTGGAGAGGTTAAAGGGTATTGAATGATGTGCAATGAATAATATGAAGGATATTGGATGGTGAGATATGAAGAATGTGTTTAAACAAGTCGAGGAAGATGAAAGTCTGCCAGTTTTAAGTAGGCAGTGCCAAAACGTAGGAGCTGAGTACCGGGTCCATTAGTTACCATAAATGAATCTCCGAGGAATGAAGTGTCACTTCACTTCACTCAGAGCAGGATGAGGAGTGATTGGATCTTTGTTTGAGATCAAATAGATGAGCAGAGTCAAGACGGAAGTGTGGTTTGTGGGACTGTAATCAAAATAGTTCTAGTACAGAATCTTAACCTCCAAACAGTTTTGCCCGAATTTGCATGTGCTCCACATTCTGAGGAGCTGTCTTTCACTTGAGCTGTGAAACTAAAATTGTACACACTGTCTAATGGTCAAACAATTTGTAATAGAAGAAGGCCAAGGGAGATCTTTCTGATATCATGGACAATAGTAATACCTCAATCAACAACATAATCACACCATAGATTCTCTAGTTATTAAATTGCCTCTGTTTCTTGAATCTTACTGTTCTCAAATGGGATGCAGGATTTGCTTGGCCAATGAGAGATTCTAGGCTGTGATGGACATGTTTGGTCACAGTGCTATCACCTCATTGATGGATAAATCCTCCACTGAAACATCCTGAGCAAGTGCTCATTTAGATCTGGATAAATCAGGAACAATGACTTTTTTGGTAGTACTAAGAATGTTCCCCCACCTGAGAAATCAAAACATTCAACACCTCACCATTTCACACAGAGTGAAGTATCTTGATTGTCCCATCAAAAAATCCTGGGACAGCAACGCATGGCATCATATATAGAGAGAGTAAAGATCCCTTATCTTTGTCTGCACCAAAGGGACAACTTGGGGTCAGATAGAGAACAAAGCTCCCTTGACACTCTCCCCACCAAACATTCCAAGGATAGGGATAGCCCTCGGTTGATTCAGAATAAAGCTCCCTCTACACTGTCTGCATCAAATACTCCTAGGGCAGGGATAGCATAGGGTTAGATGTAGGGTAAAGCTTCCTCAACTCTTTGGAACTAAATTAAAGCTTCCTCTTCCCTTTTAAACTGATAGTAAAACTTCCTGAACTCTTTTGAACTGGCAGTAAAGCTTTCTCTACTCTTTTGAACCAGAAGTGAAGTTCCCTCTAATCTCTTAAAATGAATGTAAAGCCTCCTCAACACTGTCCACATCAAACACTCCCAGAACTGGGACAGTAGAGGGTTGGATGCAGAGTAAAGATTCCTCTACACCTTTAAACTGAAATTAAAGCTCCCTCAACACTGTTTCCATCCAACACTCCCAGGACAAGTACAGCCACGAGATGATATGAGGCCAGATGAGCAAACTTTGTTCAACGAGTGAAGGATTAAAAAGTGTTTTTAAATAGGAGGGAACTCAAGATGGGTTTCAGAATAAAGTCCACGGGTTGGGACCCAGCCAGCGGAATGTTCCTGTACCAATGACAGAGTGATGAAAACTGGGATTACCAAGATTCCAAATGGGAACAGCAGAGAGAATTCAGAGCAATAAGGAGGGTGGGCAGAGTTTACAGGGATAGGGAGGGGGCAAGGCCAAGGAGGGATTTGAAAACGCTGGAGTGTCTTTCAATTACTCAGTGGGTACAAGGGTGATGCCAGAATAGCATATGGTCTGAGTTCAGATACAGGCAACAACATTTGAATGAGCTCACGTTCTGAAGGGTGGATGATAGGCAGTTGGCCAGGGCTGTGTTGGAACTGTCACATTTGAAGGTAACACTGGTATTCAGCATTTAAAGAAGGATATAAACATGTTGGAGGCTGTTTAAAGGAGGTTTACACAATTGTAATGAGCAGATTGTCTTATTGTTAGACAGACTGGGGTCGTTTCCACTGAAGTTTCCTTTTGTCGATCAGTCTGGAATTAGACACCACTGTTTTAAAATTAGAGAGTGTCCTTTTAGAACTGAGATGAGGGGATTTTTTTTCTCTCAAAGGATTGTGTAACTTTGGAACTCTCTGCTTCAGAAAGTGAGGGAGGTCAGATTTTTAAATATTGTTAGGCAGCAAAATAAAGTGTGACCAGGGTGTAGATGGAAATGTAGAACTTGTAATACAAAGAGATCAGCCACAATCTAATGTAAAGGCAGAGCAGAATCGAGAGACTGAATGACCTACTTCTGTTTTTATTTGATGTTTTATAATGTACGTTCAGCAGGAGATGAGCTGAGGCAGTGTGGAATTAGATAATGTAACTGAAGTGGAAATGGGTGCTGTTAGTGATGAGATCAAGATGTGCTTGAAGCTCATTTCAGGGTGAGCTATGGCACTAGGTTTACAGAATGTTTAATTCATCCTTAGACAGATGTTGGGGAGAGGAATAGTGCCAGTTTGTGGTGGTGACCAAAGAAAATGGGTTTGGTCTTCCCAGTACTTAATTGGTTGACATTTCTGCTTGCTCATTGGTGGACGTCGGAGCAATATTGTGATAATGTAGAGACATTGGAGGAAGGGAGTGAAGTGGTGCTGAGGTAGAGCTGGCTGCGACCAGAATACATGGGAAGAACTAACGTAGTGTAGAACATGAAGTTGCATTTATGTAATGGAAGGGGCAATGACCTTGGAGAGGGGAAAGAGGTTGGAGGTGGGAATTAGTTGCTAAGGAAGAGAGGTCACACCCAACAAAGAAACTGATTAAGCAGGTAATATATTTCTTTGGCAGTCTTAGAAGCCACGGCAGATCTTCGAGTCATCAAAACCAACTACCAGGAATACGCTTTAATACTGTACGACAGAATGAAAGGACTGAACCAAACAAAGTCTGTGGCCCTGTACGGTAAGAGATTCTACATCAACTCCTCCACTCACCACTTTCTAAGGTTGATTTCTGGATCTTTAACTAAATGCCCATAACTAAATGCCCATCTCCTAGGAAGGACACGGAAACTGAGGAAGGAGATCAAAGAAGAGTTCAAAGAGCTTGCGTTGAGACATGGAATCCCAGAAGAGATGATCTTATTTTTGCCTGAAAGAGGTAAGCACATCACAAGCCTCTGAGCCCCATTGCAACCTGTCAGTCATTCCCAGTTGTGCACTATTCCATTTCTATGATCTCTTGGGCCCCAATTGCAATGCCCAGCTGATGTTAATACCAGCCAAGGCAGATCCCATATACGAACCTGGCTGAATAGATCATAATTACATTTCAGTTTTTGTTACTGAAGTGATCTTTAAGTAAAACGTACACCTTCACGTACATGTACACATTTGGCAAGAATTTTTTTAAACAAAACTAAACAAAATTTTATTAACAACAGCTATGAAGATCATCAAGAAATAAACCATTCTATTTCCTTAAATATAGATTCAAAGATTTTTAACTACATAATAGAAATAACCCAAACATTCAAGATTGAACAGAAACAACAGCTTTGCATTGGAATCAGAACCCCTTGGTAGACCTTACAAACACTGTTGCAATTCTGAGAACATCTAGTGCTGTACTTATAGCAAGACCCATTTCTAACATAGACATTTCTAATTTGTTTTTATGTTGATAGGCTTGAGGTATTTAAAATCTTAACTCATCTGCTGGAACTGTAGATAACTCTTGCTTAATCATTATTATACTTGTGCTGCTGACTGAGTTTCCTTTCAGTGCTAACACTCTCCCTGACACAGTTCCAATTCCTTTTCTTCCTTTTTAGAATTTCAAAAACTTCAATTCTTTTCCACTGACTCTATCCAAACAATCCAGCCTGGGACTGTTAATTGTAAGATAAGCTAATTACTTAAAAAAATTATTTCAGGAATGCTGCTTAGTACGTCACTCATCAAAAGATCTATTAGTACCTCAGAGCTGAATACTTTCTTCCCTCTCAAATGATTTTCCAAGACAGAATCAAAAAGAAAACTAAAACTTGAAAAGTTCTCCCCAAGCCCTCTTGCCAGTTCTTAGGTATTCTGGGTAACTTTCTCTCACTTTTAATTATGGATGTTGCAGTTTTTAAAAAGCAACTTTACAGTAAATAATATTAAAATACAAGTGTATAAACATTATAGTTATATCACATCTCCCCCAGTGAAGAATGGAAATGTATCTGATAGAGGCATTTTCATTACATGTAAAAATCATCTTAACACTAATTTTATGTCAAATAACAGTAATGACATTAATTTAGATTTAGTTTCTAATTGCTCTGATATTTATTTCTTTTCTCATTTCCTTCATTAATACTTTGTCTTTCAAGGAATAACACTCAGGTACAGTTTCTGAATCATTTTCTAAGTAGGCTATTTGGTATAAATTAAATTTGGTATAAATAAATCACTCCAAATAGAAACATAAGAACTAGAAACAGGATTTGGCTATTCATCCCTTCAAGCCTGTTCTGTCATTCAGTATGACCCTGGCTGATTATCCAGCGCAGTACCTTGTTCCTGCTTTCTTCCCAAACCTTTTCATCCTGTTACCCTAATACTATATCTTTCTCCTTTTTGAAAATATTCAATGTTTTGTCCTCAACCGCTTTTTGTGGCAGAGAATTCCACTGGTTCACCATTCTCCGGGTGAAGACATTTCTCCTCATCTCAGCCCTTAATGGCCTGCCCTATATCTTTAGACTGTGTGACACCTGGTTCTGGACTTCTGAGCATCGGGAACACCCTTCCTGTGTTTATCCTGTCTAGTCCTGTTAGATCTGTCTTAATGAGTCTGTTGCATTTCTATTTAAGAAGGTGGGCAAAACGTCTCAGCCTCATTCTCTTTATCTTCATTCTGTTTAATTAACTTTTCAAAAATTGTACCTGCTTTTCAAATCTGAATTTTCAAATCATCTCCTTGTTTCACAAACTCCGTTTCTTCCTGATTATTTTTGTGTGATTTTGATCCAGTTACCATACAATGGGGAAAAGATCTAGGATGCCCTTTTTGCGAGACTTCAGTCCTTTTTACGTCTACTAGTTGTTTCACAACTCTTGGTGAAGCCAATGTGTTTGGACATTTTGGTCCTTTCCCAAAATAAAGTCAACTCCCTCTATAAGGAATAAAGGCAAACTACTGCAGATGCTTTAAATTTGAAACAAACACAGAGAATGCTGGAGAAATTCAACAGGTCTGGCAATATCTGTGGAGAGAGAAAAACAATGTAAATCTTTTGAGTCCAGTGTGATTCTTCTTTAGAATGAGATTATTCCCTCTATAGGAATAGTTTCACTACTCTAAGTACCACTTCTCCATTTACGAAGTCCCTCTTTAATCCAACTCTGTATAATGAGATTGGTTTGTAATCTCCATGAATGCCTCCACTTCAAATGTTTCCCTTCATCCCTTCTGGAAGGGAAATATCATAGACAGCCAGTATCAATTTGTTATAGTGCTTCTCAATATCCTTTCTGGTTTACCTTCCTGAGTTGAAGCATAAGAAACAACCTTCCTTTCTGATATAAAATATCCGGGAGTTCACTTTTTCTTATCAATCTTTGAAGTATAATTTTCATGACTATCCTGTACCATCTTAGTATATTCCAAGGAAACATGTTCTCTTTGTACCACTCCTGCAGTTTAGTAACTATTTCCTTCTCTGGTCTTTCATTTTTTTCTGAAGAGTCCTTAAGACTTTCCTATCACTGCAATTGGTCTTCCATTTCTTTTCTAGCAATTTGCTTTGTTATGTTCACTCTTAATACAATAAAAGCATGTTAATTCCTTTCCACAAATTTTCAGTTCTAACCTTTCTCCTTTATCACTTTGACATTCTTCTGTCTGTTGTCTAAAACTAGCTCCACTCCTAGCCACCAAAATCCCACTTCTCCAATTTCCTTGTGAATTTCCAATATGACCATTTCCCTGCCTGTAATTATCTATGTGAGACATCATTGGTATCCTCCAGAGCGGCTGCTTCACTAATCTTGAATACTCATGTTCATCTAAATAAGTTTTAAATTTGCATGTATTCTATTTCTGAATTCTTCTATGATGATAATTTCCATCACATTTACAAAATGTTTCTCTAGCTTGAATGACACAACCCACTGATCCCGTAGCATTTATCTTTCTCCTTTGAAAAATCCATTAATGTCCAATTAGGTTTCTTTCTTGTAGTCCTAAATTTTAATGAATAAGTTTTGGGCAACAGATCAAAAACATTGAGAATTGCCTCTTTGACAGTCTCATACTCTGCAGATTGTTCTTCTGACAAGCTGGCATACACAACCTTATTGGTTCCTCTGTAACATTAACGTTCAACCCTCTTTTGGCCATTTCCGTTGTCTGACTATCTGCACAATTGGAGTAAAATACCTTTCAACTCTATCTACATTCAATTTGGGCACGGTGTAAATTCTTAGTTAAATCAAATCTCTCATTGGAATCTGAATCATCATCTGATCTATTACCTCTTTCTTTGCTCTTTTCTTTAGCTAACTCACATTCCCTAATTTTCTTCTGTCTTGGCAATTTGAGCCAATTTATTTTCATTACCCCCCGTTTATTTTGTTTTCTGTCTGCATTTTTCTTTCCTCACTTTCTATTATTCTTTGATTTTCTTTCTCATCAAGTTCAAGTCTTTTCATTTTTCCTTTTCTCTCTAAGTTCAGTTTTTTAAAGATTTCTACCTGTACCTTAGATAATTTTGGCTGTAACATTCCAATTTCAGGTTTCCTTCTGACCAATTCTCAAAAACTGTATAATCACTTGATGTATGTCATCCTTATGAGATCCTGTATTTATCTGTACCTTCAATATATTTACTAAATCCCTCAGTTTAGCTTTGATCAAAGATTTTAAATAATCACTGTTTTATCTTCCACAGTGAGAAAACTCTAAGCAACATTCAAAACCACCTTCAAATGTCATGCAATAAACATCTCTACAACATGCTGATGCGAGTGTGGGGGAGGGTTGATAAGTAAGTTTGCAGGTGACAAAGTTTGGCCAGATGGTTGACAGTGAGGAAGAAAGTCTTAGATTATAGGAGGGTATAAACGGGTTGGTCAAATCAGTGGGAGATGGCACTTAACCTCCTGATAAATGTGAAGCAAAGCACTTTGGAAGAAGGAACAAGATGAGAGTACTCAATGAATAGCAGGACACTGGGAAGCTCAGAGGAACAGGGGGATCTTGGAGAGCTTCTTCACAGATCCCTGAAAGTGACGGGACAGGTTAATAGGGCAGTTAAGAAGGCATATGGGACATTTACTTTTATCATAGATTATAAGAGCAGGAAGTTATGATGGAGCTGTACAGAACTTTAGTTAGACCACAGCTGGAGTACCGTATGCAGTTCTGGTCACCACACTGTAGGAAGGATGTGAATGCACTAGAATTGTGTAAAGGAGATTCTCCTGGGATGAAGCACTTTGCCTGCGAAGAGAGGCTTGGAGAAACTTGGGTTGTTTTCTTTGGAGCAGAGAAGGTGAATGGGGGGGTGGAGGTTGGTGACAGAGGTGTATGATATTTAGATATACAAAAAGAAAAAGAGAGGACAAAGTGAACACAGGCCCCTTAGGAAATAAATCTGGGGAGATAGTTACGAGGAACAAGGAAGTGGCAGTTTTTCTCCATTTAAATAATGTTCTGTTATTTTAGCTATACAAAAGCCTGGTTCGGCCACATCTGGAGTATTGTGTCCAGTTGTGGTCACCTCATTACAGGAAAGATGTGGAAGCGTTAGAAAAGGTGCAGAGGAGATTTACCAGGATGTTGCCTGGAATGGAGGGAAGGTCTTATGAGGAAAGGTTGAGAAAGCTAGGGCTTTTCTCTTTAGAACAACGAAGGATGAGAGGTGACTTGATAGAGGTGTACAAAATGATCAGAGGTACAGATAGAGCAGACAGCCAGAGACTTTTGCCTAGGGTAGAGGTAGTTTTTACGAGGGGACATAGTTTTAAAGTGAAAGGAGGTAGATATCAGGGAGACGTCAGAGGTAAGTTCTTTACTCAGAGAGTGGTAAGGGTGTGGAATGCATTGCCGGAGAGGGTAGTGGAGTAGGCCTCATTAGATAGGCATATGGATGATAGTATAAGGTAATGGTGGAGGTTAGATAGACCTCAGGTTTAAGGTAAAAGTTTGGCACAACATCGTGGGCCGAAGGGCCTGGGCTGTGCTGTACTGTTCTATGTTCTATTTTGCTCTCCCTTCCAAAAAACAACTTCACATGTTACCACATTATATTCCATTTGCCAATGTTTTGCCCATGCACTTAACCTATCATTTTCTGCCATTCAAGCATGAGGGCACTCAGATCCCTTTTGCACCAAAACCCTGACACTTCTCTCCATTGAGATAAAATGTTGCCTTTCTATTCGTCCAACCAAAATGGATAATCTCGTCCAATTCGTGTGTCGACATTGCCAGCTCAATGTGCTGCTATTTCTCTCACATTCAGAATCATTTTCATTCTGAAACAGAAGGAGAGAGAAAAGAAGAAGGAAAAGGAGGGAGCGGCCAAGAGAGACAAAATAGAGAATAAAAGAGTCAGAGAGAAGTAAAATGAAGTGAACATCAGATCCCCTGTTTCTTACTCAATAGGGACTCACTGGGATCTTATTCAGAACAGTCCTGAAGAAGGGCAATACCCAAAATGTTGACTGCTCCCTTCCTTCAGATGCTGCCTGGACTGCTGTGTTCTTCCAGCCTCCTGTTTGTTTCTCTTGGATTCCAGCATCAGCAGTTTTTTGTCATACTGTGGTTTGGATGACGAAGATATTTTATGATTATGGATCCCTCCTGACTCCCTCTGGTTTTGAATGACCATCATGAAATGTTGATGTTGATTAGTGTTTATAGACAAGATCCTAACTGTGTGTCTGTTTCTAACAGGAGCGTGTCTTCCATGGGACCCCATCCCAGAGTCACCAATCAAGGTGAGGCAATCAGTCAGTCACTTCCTGAGTAGCCGGCTATTTGGCCATGAGCACAGATAGTGTTTGAGTTGAGTGTTGCAGTGATCGGTGTTTGGGGGATCTACTGAACAGGGTGGCTCAGCGACTGGTTGTAGGTCATTCATAAAGTGACATACATAAGGGATTAGTGATGGGAACTCTGCTGACCAGGGAGGCCCTGTGTCTGTTACTGGGGAGATGGAAAACAGCTTGATGTGGTTCAAAAGGAATTTAACAAAGCATCACATGATGACTATCAGTTTAACCTCGGTGATGGGAATGATAATCCATGGTAAACCTGACAGCTGTTGTTGTATGAGATAACAAGGTGTAGAGCTGGATGAACACAGCAGGCCAAACAGCATCAGAGGAGCAGGAAAGCTGATGTTTTGGGTCTGGAGCCTTCTTCATCCAGACCCGAAACGTCAGCTTTCCTGCTCTATACCTTGTTATCTCAGATTTTCCAGCATCGGCAGTTCCTACTATCTCTGAATCAGCTGTTGTTGTATGTTGGTTAGCCTGGTTTCAGAATGTTTAAACAATAGCTGGTTTATTACTGAATGGCCTGCACTCCACATGCTTCATCTGACAGTGCTGAACCATGGGCTTTCTCAGCCAGCTTTCAGTCATGTGCCCCTTTACCTAATCATTATTTAATTTTGATTTTATTTGGTTAATTATTGTCGCATGTACCAAGATGCAGTGAAAAGTATTACATTATGTGCTAATCAGACAAATCATACATAAGTACATCAGGGTAATGGAACAAAATGCAGAATATAATGTTACAGCTAGAGAAAGTGCAGAGAAAGATCAGCTCTATTATATGAGAGGTCCGTTCATAAGTCTGATGACAGTGGAGAGGAAGCTGTTCTTAAATCTGTTGATAAGTGTTTTCGAACTTTTGTATCTTCTGGCCAATGGAAGAAGGGGTAAGAGAGTATAACCGGGATGGGAGGGGTCTTTGATTATGTTGGCTGCTTTCCTGAGGCAGCAGGAAGTGTGGACGGAGTCAATGGAATGAAGGCTGGTTTTCATGATGAACTGGGCTGTGTTCACCACTCTCTGTAATTTTGTACGGTCTTAGGCAGAGCAGTTACCATACCAAGCTGTGATGCATCTATAAAAATTGGTAAGAGTCATTGTGGGCATGCTAAATTTCCTCAGCTGCCTGAGGAAGTAGAGGCATTGGTGTGTTTTCTTCACCGTCGGGTCGATATAGATGGACTAGAATATATTATTAATGATACTTACTGCGAGAAACTTGAAAATCTCAACCACGTCTACCTCAGCTCCATTGATACAGGAAGTGGTGCATCTCAACTCTGCTTCGTCTTCAATTTTCTGGTCCTTATGTAATTCCTGAATGTTTTCTCCATCTCTTTCTCTCTCTCTCTCTGTGCACAAGAATCACAAACGGCGAGCACTTGGAGGACAAGATGAGGAAGGATCTGGCCTTGGAGACTTTAGCAGCACAACTCATTCTGTAGGTGAGAGCATCATGGGGCACGGTGTTGGCTCGAACACTGGCTCTTTTACTGAGAACAGAGTGGGAGTCAATAAATGTGGAGCTGGAAAAGCACAGCAGGTCAGACAGCATCCGGGGATCAGAGAAGCCAATGTTTCGGCCTAAAACCCTTACAGCCCGAATGGGGATATCCTTTATAAAGCAGTTTGAGAGTAACTATATGAAGATTGGTCCTGATTCCCAGGCTACTGGAGTGGGAGATGTTTGTGTCCTGAGAGGTCCGCCATTGGGTTATGGTTAGGGTTAACATTTGGGTTAAGAAGTCTTCTGTATTCGTTGATAAATTAATCTTGTTGTTTGCTTTTGTTCTGAAGAATCCTGTCAACTGGCACCTGATTCTGGGCCCTGCTTTAGCTTAATTTTAAAATTCTACTACAACCACAGCTCAATGGCCTGTCAGGTGTTTAATTATGGAGGCTGTGCTGGAAACGGAAACAACTATGGAACAGAGCGGGAATGTTTGCAGAGATGCAGGACTGTAGGTGAGATAACCCCCAAGCTTAAACAGTGAGTGTACATTCCTCTGTCAACATGGTGACTTGGAGAACTATGGAGTCACTATGATGCAGAAGGTAGCCATTCAGCCCATCGACATCCATGCTGATTTGATATACAGCAATCCAATTAGGTCCCAATTCTTTACTGTAGCCTACACTCTTTTTCATATATTTTGCTCAGGTGTCCAATCAATTTCTTTTCTGATCATTCATTGTCTCTACTTCCATCAGTGTCAGAGGCAACAAATTCAAGGCTATTAGCGCTTGCTGCTGTAAGAGATTCTTCTTCACATTCCTGCTGTATCTCTTACTCAATACTTTCGATCAGTGCCCCATTCTACCATCAGTGAGTGAGAACAGCATTCCATATCTACCTTAAAAGTACTGTTTATAACTCTGTACACACCGATTAAATCATCCCTTAGGCTGCTTTACTTCCAAGAGGACAAATCTTACTTGACCCCTCACAGCAAAAATCACTCCAACAAACTCAACATAACTCGTCGTAATTTATACAGAGCTAGGAAAATTAAGATTCAGCACAAATTGTACTGGAGAGTTTCAGTTATGAAAAGGTACTGGATGGGGGCTGAGGTTGTTTTCCTTAGAGCACAGGAAATTGAGAGAGAACATGATTGAAATGTATAAAATGATGAGGGACACAGTGTAAGCAAGAAGAAACTGTTCCCTGAAATGGAGGGATCAATGACCAGAAGGGCAGAGTGAGAGGGGCAGGAGGTTTAAAGGAGAAGTGAGGAAAAAGTTTTCACCTGGAGGCTGGTGGGAACCTGGAGCTCACTGCTTGTAAGGGTGGGAGAGGCAGAAACTCTCATAACACTGAAGAAGTATTTAGATGTCCTCTTGTGATGCCAAGTCACACAGGCTATGGCGAAGTGCTGGAAAATGGGATTAGAATAGTTAGGTAGTTGTTTATGACTGACACAGACTTGATGTGCTAAAGGGCTGTAACCCTCTACGACTCTTAGCCCAGCAACATCCATTCAAACACTCGTCATCATCATAGAATCCCAAGTGTGGAAACAGGCCATTCAGCCCAACTCACTCATCCAGCAGAGGGCAACAGCGAGGGAGAGGCATCAATTCAGCACTTATATTAGAGCCTGGGAATAGTCACCTCCATAGAAGAATGGATTACTGTGGGCCTGGTGTCAAGGACTACTTAAGCCCCAAATATTGCGACAATGTAGTGTTTCCCTCCCTCCCTCCCTCCCCCTCTAACCAAAAAAGGAGTGAGAGAGATGTGCTAATTTGTTGGGAGCAGAGTGAGAAGTAAGGCATTGGCACAATAGGCTTCAGTGAGCAGTGGCTCAGCAAAAAGTACACAAAAACTCAGGTGAAGCCCTTTTAACTTTCCTCTTAATCTTAGAGCATTTGAGATGGTAATGAGGGCCATGGCATGCTCCTCCTGCAGGATGTGGGAGCTCAGGGAGACTTCCATCGCCCCTGATGACTACACCCAGCTGCATTTCCTGTGAGACCATGTTAGGGAGCTGGAGCTGGAGCTAGATGCATTTAGGATCATCTGAGATGCTGAGCGAATCATAGATAAGAGTGTTAGTGAGGTGGTCACACCTAAGGCGAAGGCAGAGAGTAGCTGTGTGACCACTAGGAAAGGCAAAGGGAGTAGGCAGAGAGTACAGGAATCCCCTGTAGCCATTCCCATCGAAAACAAGTATACTGTTTTGGATGCTGTTGAGGGGGGATGACCGATCAGGTGAAAGCAGCAGTAGCCAGGTCAGTGGCACTATGACTGGCTCTGGGGCACAGCGGAAAAGGGTAAAGGTAAACAGGACCTTAGTGAAAGGAGACTCGATAGTTAGGGGAATAGACAGGAGATTCTGTGGCTGCCAATGGGAATCCAGGATGGTGTGTTGTTTCCTGGGTGCCAGGGTCCAGGATGTCTCAGAGTGGCTGCAGAATGTTCTCAATGGGGAGGGTGAGCAGCCAGGAGTCATTGTGCACATTGGCATTAATGACAAAGGTAGAAGTAGGGATGAAGTCCTGTGGAGTGATTATAGAGAACTAGGAAAAAGTTAAAAACCAGGAACTCAACCATGGTAATCTCCGGATTACTTCCACTGCCACGTGCTAGTGAGGGTAAGAACAGGAGGATATGGCAGATGATTGTTTGGCTAAAGAATTAGTGCAGAGGGCAGAGGTTCAGATTCCTGGATCATTGGGATCTTTCCTGGGGCAGAGATGACCTGTTCAAAAGGACTGGTTGAATCTGAACTGGATGGGGACCAATATCCTGGCGGGCAGATTTGCAAGTGCTACACGGGAGGGTTTAAACTAGATTGGTGTGTGTTGGGGGTGGGGGGTGGTGGGTGGGGTTGGGATCCTCAATGGCAGGGAGGCAAGTGCAAGGCTGGAAGGAGATGCAGTAATCAGAAATAGCAAGTTGAAGAGACAGGTCAGGATGGAACAGGACAGGGAACGAGGAATGCCTGTTGGATTAAATTGCATCTGTTTCAATACAAGAGGGCTGACAGGTAAGGCCGAAGAACTCAGAGCATGGATAGGTACGTGGGACTGGGATATTCTAGCCATTACAGAAACATGGCTAAGGGAGGGACAGGACTGGCAGCTTAATGTGCCCGGCTACAGGTGCTTTAGGTGGGACAGAGGTGGAGGAAGAGGGGAGGGGGAGTTGCATTTTCGATTAAGGGGCGTGTCACAGCAGTAGTCAGAGATGAAATAACTGATGGATCATCCAGTGAGGCTTTGTGGGTGGAGCTAAGAAATAAGAAGGGGACGGTGACGTTATTGGGGTTGTACTATAGTCCCCCAAATAGTCAACGGGAATTAGAGGAACAAATATTCAGGAAGACTGGAGAGACTTGCAGGAGAAATAGGATTGTCATAGTGGGAGATTTTAATTTTCCTAACATAGACTGGGACTGCCGTAGCGTTACTGGCTTAGATGGGGTGGAATTTGTTAAATGTGTTCAGGAAAGTTTCTTGAAGCAGTATATAGAGGGTCCTACTCAGGAAAGGGCAAAACCCGACCTAGTCTTGGGAAATAGGGCAGGACAGGTGACTGAGGAGACAGTGGGGGTCACTTTGGGACCAGTGACCATTGTTCTATTAATTTGAAATGGTGAAGGAGAAAGACAAAGCTAGTCCATAGGTTCAATTTCTGAACTGGGGCAAGGCGAATTTTGATGGAATGAGACAGGAACTTGCATGGGTTGATTGGAGTAGTTTGTTTGCAGGCAAAGGAACCTCTGGCAAGTTGGAGGCTTTTAAAAGTGTGATAGCTACAGTTCAAGGCCTATATGTTCCTGTGAGGGTGAAGGGCAAGGTTGGCAGGTGTAGGGAACCCTGGATGACAAGAGATATTGAGGGTTTGATCAGAAAAATGAAAGAGGCATGGCTCAGGAACAGGCAGCTGGGATCAAGGGAATCCCTGGAGGTATACAGGGGAGACAGGGGTTTATGAAAGAAGGATATCAAGAGGGCAAAAAGGGGGCACAAGATAGCTTTGGCTGAGAAGATTAGGGTGAAACCAAAGAGATTCTTTAAGTATATTAAAGAGAGAGAAGAGGACCCCTGAAGGACCCCTGAAGGACCAAAGTGGACATGTGTATGTGGAACCAAAGGAGATGGGCGAGGTCTTCAATGAGTATTTCTCCTCTGTGTTTACCATGAAGAAAGATATGAAGACCTGGGAACTTGGGGAAGCCAGTGGCAATAAAAACGAGTATAGGGAGTCAGGTTGGAAGCTGAAGTCCAGGACAAACAGGGTAGTTATCTCTGGATTACTACCAGCTCCACGTGATAACGAGTTAAGAAATAGGGAGAGAGTGCAGCTAAACACGTGGCTACAGGGCTGGTGTAGGAGGGCGGGCTTCCATTATGTGGATAATTGGAGCACATTCTGGGGAAGGTGGGACCTGTACAGTAAGGACGGGTTGCACCTGAACCAGAAGGGCACAAATATCCTGGGAGGGAGGTTTGCTCGAGCTATACGGGATGGTTTAAACTAGATTGGCAGGGGGTGGGGAACCGGATTTATAATTCAGAGGATGAGGTATTCAGCCTTCCAATGGACACAACAGGGAGTGAGGTTATTTATAAAGAAATGCGGTCAATGGAGCGTAATTGTGGACACAGAGATGGTTTGAGGTGTGTATACTTCAATGCTAGAAGTATCAGAAATAAGGCAGATGAACTTAGAGCATGGGTCGATACTTGAAACTACGATGTTGTGGCCATTACAGAAACTCAGGTAACTCAGAGATAGGAATGGTTGTTGGAAGTTCCGGGATTTAGATGCTTTAAAAGAAATGGGGAGAGTGGAAAAAGAGGCAGGGGAGTGACATTGCTAGTCAGGGCTAGTATAGCAGCTACTGAAAGGCAGTTCGAGAATGTCTACAGAGTCAGTTTGGGTTGATGTCCAGAACAAGAAAGGAGCAGTCACTTTGTTGGGGTTTTTTTACAGACCCCCTAATAGTTGCAGAGAAGGAGAGGAGCGGATTGGGAGGGAGATACTGGAAAGGTGCCAAAGTCACAGGGTTGTAGTCATGGGTGACTTCAACTTTCCAAATACTGATTGGAAACTTTTTAGTTGTAATAATTTAGATGGAGCGGATTTTGTCCAGTGCGTTCAAGAAGGATCCTGACACAGTAGGTAGATAGACCAAGACGAGGAGAGGCCACTTTGGATTTGGTGCTTGACAATGAACCGGACCTAGCGTTAGACCTGTTGGTAGGAGAGCATTATGGCGGTAGCGATCATAACTCTGTTACTTTTACAATAGTCATGGAAAAGGATAGGTACATACAGCAGGGTAAGGTTTATAATTGGGGGAAGGGTAATTACAATTCTGTTAGACAAGAACTGGGCAACGTAAATTGGGAACAGATGCTGTCAGGGAAGGGTACTATTGAAATGTGGAGATTGTTTAAGGAATGCATACTGCGTGTGCTCGATATGTTTGTCCCTAGCAGGCAGGGAAAATGCAGTCGAGTGAGGGAGCCTTGGTTCTCAAGAGATGTCGAACGTCTGGTTAAGAGGAAGAAGGAAGAAGGAGTAAGGTTTAGGAAACAAGGAGCGGAAAAGGCTCCAGAGGGATACAAGTTATCCAGGAAGGAGCTGAAGAAAGAGCTTAGGAGAGCTATAAGGGGGCATGAGAAAAATTTGGCAGATAGGATCAAGGAAAACTCCAAGCCTTTTTACACGTACGTGAGGAATAAGAGAATGACCAGAGAATGGGTAGGGCCGATCAAGGATTGTAAAGGGAATTTGTGCACGGAGCCTAAAGAGATAGGAGAGGTCCCTAATGAATACTTTTCTTCGGTATTCACAACTCAGAGGGACCTAGTTGTAGAGGAGGACTGTGAAACAGGCTGGTCGACTAGAGGAGGTCGATGTTAGTAAGGAAGATGTGCTCGGAATTTTGAGGAAGTTGAAGATAGATAAGTCCCCCGGGCCTGATGGGATTTATCCAAGGATTCTATGGGAAGCAAGGGAAGAGATTGCAGGGCCTTTGGCGATGATCTTTTCATCCTCACTGTCCACGGGTATAGTGCCGGAAGATTGGAGAGAGGCAAACGTCATTCCCTTGTTCAAAAAAGGGAATAGGGATAACCCCGGAAATTACAGGTCAGTTAGTCTTACATCAGTTGTGGGCAAAGTATTGTAAAGGGCTCTGAGAGATAGGATTTATGGTCACTTGGAAAGGCACAGTTTGATTCGTGATAGTCAGCATTGATTTGTGAGGGGTAGATCATGCCTCACAAACCTTCCTGAATTCTTTGAAGAGGTGACCAAACACGTGGATGAAGGTAGAGCAGTGGATGTGGTATACATGGATTTAAGTAAGGCGTTTGATAAGGTTCCCCATGGTAGGCTCATGCAGAAGGTAAGGAGGCATGGGATAGGGGGAAATGTGGCAGATTGGATTCAGAATTGGCTGACCCTTAGAAGACAAAGGGTGGTAGTGGACGGAAAATATTCAACATGGTGCTCAGTTACGAGTGGTGTACCACAAGGATCTGTCCTGGGTCCTCTTCTATTTGTGATTTTTGTAAATGATTTGGATGAAGGAGTGGAAGGGTGGATTAGTAAGTTCGCGGACGTTATGAAGATGGGTCGCGTTGTGGTCAGTGCGGAGGGCTGTTCTAGGTCACAAAGGGACATTGGTAGGATGCAGAGCTGGGCTGAGAAGTGGCAGATGGAGTTTAACCCTGAAAAGTGTGAGGTGATTCATCTTGCAAGGACAAACTTGAAAGCAGAATACAGGGTTAATGGAAAGATTCTTGGCAGTGTGGAGGAGCAGAGGGATCTTGGGATTCATGTCCACAGTTCCCTGAAAGCTGCCACCCAGGTGGATAGAGTTGTTAAGAAGGCATATGGTGTGTTAGCTTTCATTAATAAAGGGATTGAGTTCAAGAGCCGTGAAGTTATGCTCCAGCGATACAAAAGCATGGTTCGGCCATATCTGGAGTATTGTGTCCAGTTCTGGTCACCTCATTATAGGAAAGGTGTGGAGGCATTGGAAAAGTGCAGAGGAGATTTACCAGGATGTTGCCTGGAATGGAGGGAAGGTCTTATGAGGAAAGTTTGAGAGAGCTAGGGCTTTTCTCTTTTGAACGACGAAGGATGAGAGGTGACTTGATAGAGGTGTACAAAATGATCAGAGGTATAGATAGAGAAGACAGCCAGAGACTTTTTCCTGGGATGGAGGTAGCTTTTACGAGGGGACATAGTTTTAAAGTGAGTGGAGGTAGATATAGGGGAGATGTCAGAGGTAGGTTCTTTACTCAGAGAGTGATAAGGGCGTGGAATGCATTGCCGCAGATCGTGGTGGAGTCGGCCTCATTAGGGGCATTTAAGTGGCTATTAGATAGGCATATGGATGATAGTATAAGGTAATGGTGGAAGTTAGATAGACCTTAGGATTAGAGTAAAAGTTCGGCACAACATCGTGGGCCGAAGGGCCTATATTGTGCTGTACTGTTCTATGTTCTATATCTTGTGGATAGTTCATATCACAGTAGAGGAGCTATTGTAAGTATTAGAATGGACAAAGATGGATATATCTCAGGGTCCTGACCATGTATATTTAAGAACCCTGCAAAAGGATAGGGAAGAAATTGCAGAGGCCCTGGCTGATATATTTGCATCGTTGTTAGTCATGGGTGAGGTCCTGGAAGACTGGAGGGTAGCGAATGTTGTGCCCTTATTCAAGAAGGGCTGCAAAGAAAACTCAGGGAATTATAGACCAGTCAGCTTAACATCTGTGGTAGGTAATTACTTAAGAAGATTCTGAGGATAAGATATACATGCATTTAGAAAGACAGGGTTTGATTTGGAGTAGTCAGCATGGCTTCGTGCGTGGGAGATAATACCTCACAAATTTGTTAGCCTTCTTTGATGAAGTGACGAGGACGTTTGATGAGGGCAGGGCAGTAGATGTGGTCTATATGGATTTCAGTAATGCCTTTGATAAGGTTTCACATGGCAGGCTGCTTTGGAAGGTTAGATCGCATGGAATCCAGGGAGGGCTGGCAGATTGGATACGCAATTAGCTTGATGGTAGGAAGCAGAGAGTAATAGTTCAAGGATGCTTGTCTGACTGGAGACCTGTGACTAGTGGTGTGCCTCGGGGGTCAGTGCTGGACCCATTGCTGTTTGTTATCTATATCGAAGATTTGGATGAGAATGTTCAAGGCATGATTAGTAAGTTTGTGGATGACACTAAAATAGGCAGTATAGTGGACATTGAAGAAGGTTATCAGAAATTGCAGCAGGATCTTGATCAGCTGGGGAAATGGGCCAAGCAATGGCAAATGGAGTTTAATATAGATAAGTATGGGGTGTTGCATTTTGGAAAGTCAAATCAAGGCAGGAGTATCATGGTGAATGGTAGGGCTTTAAGGAGTGTAGTGGAACAGCGGACTTTGGAGTTCAGGTGCATGGATGACTGAAAGTGGAGTCACAAGTAGACAGGGCAGTGCAGAAGGCTTTGGGCACACTGGCCTTCATCAGTTAGGGTATTGAGTGTAGAAGTTGGGAAGTTATGTTGCGGTTGTACATGACGTTGGTGAGGCCGAACTTGGAGTATTGTGTTCGGTTTTGGTCACCTTGCTATAGGAAGGATGTTATTAAACTGGAAAGAGTGCAGAAAACATTTACAAGGATGTTGTCAGATCTCAAGGGATTGAGTTATAGGGAGAGGTTGGACAAGCTAGGACTTTTTTCTTTAGAGCGTAGGAGACTGAGGGGGGGGATCTTATAGAAGTGTATAAGATCATGACAGGCATAGATAGGCTGAATGCACTCAGTCTTTTTCCCAGGGTTGGGGAATTGAGGACTAGAGGGCATCAGTTTAAGATGAGAGGGGAAGAATACATGGGAACCTGAGGGGTAACTTTTTTACACAGAGTGTGGTACACATGGAATAAGCTGCCAGCAGAAGTGGTTGAGGCAGGTACATTAACAACATCTAAAAGGCATTTGGATGAACACATGGATAAGAAAGGTTTAGAAGGATATGGGACAAGTGCAGAGAAATGGATTTAGCGTAGTGGACACTTTTGTCAACACAGAGCATTTTGGGCCAAAGGACCTGTCTCCGTGCTGGAGGATTCTATGGCTCTCTTAGTCCATACTGTCCCTCCAAAGACCATCACATCACCCTCCCATTTCCCTGTAACCCCTATATTTTCCATGGCTAATCCACCTAATTTGCACACCCCTGGACACTACAGGCAATTTAGCATGGCCAATCCATCTCAGCTTGTTCAAGAGCTCAGTCACGGTATACCAGTCTCAGTCTGGGTACAGCTGTGTATATTCTCCATCAGGGTACACCTCTAAACAGGTGCGTTATAAATCAATGGACAGAGTGGACACTCCAAGTGGTGAAAAGCTGCACTACTGTCTTGCTGTCACTTCTAACAGCCGTCACTTTCCCAGTTCCATCACCAGCATCTGGCACCTTACCCTCCAGCAGTTTTCATGTCTGTGTCTCGACAGTGGATGTCAGCAGGCCATTCCACCATGGAAACTGATAGCTAAATCTCGTTGTGTCTATAATAGATGTTGATGATCCTCAGTGTGACTGCCTGCTCCCTGTCTGTATCTAGTCTTTGTGATCCTCTTTCTAACACCTCTCTGTTCCTGTGATGCAGCTGCCTGTAGATTGCCTCTGGAACCTGGTCCATGCAAGTTAAATGTTGCTGTCTGGGCTTTTGACTCTGCTGTTGGTGCATGTGTACCCTTCACGTACAGTGGGTGTGGAGGAAATGGAAACAAGTTCTATACCAGGAAAGAGTGTGAGGAATACTGTGATGCTGTCCCAGAAGGTATGGAATACACTAAGGCTTGGTTCAGGGGTTGGGGGGGGATGGGGGTGGAAAATTGCATGAGTTTATTTATATATTGACATTAACCCTTTACATTACACTGCATATGTTCCTTTCATTCACTCAAGCAGCCACATCCTGGTGTTTTTCAGCTGGGAGTCGCTGTATTTCCTGATCACTTCCATTTCATGGTCAGACTCACAACCAGTTCTGCCGGTGGCTGAAGTGAAACAAGTGTCCAAGGGGATAATGAGGGACAGAAATCAGAAGGTTCTCAACCATTCACGGTGTTGGAGGGGAGGGAGATAAATATTGTGAAAAGGACAAAGCCTCCCCGAGAGTGGGAGGGAAAGCTCAGGTGAAGGCAACTGCTCGGTGCTTCACTTGCTGTCTCACTGTGTGGCACTAACCTGTAACCGGCTATGAGGCCACTGACCCTCCTCTCTTTTACAGGAGACGATGAACTTCTGGTTGTTCCCAACAAAGTGTAGCTGGAAATAAAAGAAGAAAACAGTGAGAACAACGATAGAAATAGTCATGAAAGTGATGATTTCAAGTGATCCATCAGACGCTTTGGACGGCCTGATACTAAAGGGTAGAAGAGCGGAGTTTACACAAACTCAGGCTCAGTATTGTGACCATCCTTTCAATCTAATTGATCAATAAAATTCTGTAATTGAAAATACTCGCGCCTCCAGAGTGTGGATTGTTCAATGTGCAATGTTCTGATTGACACAAGGAATTCCCAAGTGCTGCCAGAGAGACATGGTCTTAGAGTTACCATTCAATTTCCTGCTTGTTTTGGCACAATGTTGCTGGAGATGGTGATTTCAGACACAATGAGCATGGGATTTTGAGAGAAAATTGTGTTCTTTTCATATTGTTTCTCTCATGTGATGTGGCTGATGGAAGAAAGGTGTCCATTTCTTCTTTGAAAGAGTCTTGATAGGATGCCTCCCTGAACTGCTGCAGCCCATCAGCATTGACTGTTTAACTGGAAATCTGGCATATTTCTCACCAAAACTCATATCATTTAGGGTTATACAAGATTTTAACTGATATGACTCATCCAGTTCAGTTTCTGGTCAATGACAATCCTCAGTATTTCCTCCGAGAAAGGACATCACTCAATCAGATGGACTTTCACAACCATCAATGATAATTTCATGAGATTTGTTTGGAACTCCAAATTTTTTAGAGAGGTTTTGCTGCTATGATGGGATTAGAAGCTGTATGGCCAAAGCATGATCATGAATAACTAGGTCAGTGACATTGGTATCAGCCATTCAATTCACTCCACATGATATCAAGAACTGTGGCTGTAAGAGTTGCTTCTTTTTTGAGATATTTTCAGTGTTGGAGCTGATTTCCTTGAATTCTAGAAGCCGTGATTACAGTTTTATAAGATGTTGCATTGTTTTGGAACTTTGGGGAAGAAAGATCAAAACTACAACACTTAAAAAGGGGGGAAGACAGACAAAAGCAGAGACCTCATGGGAAGTGAATGAAACAGAAAAATAAACCTGCACTGCTGTCTGACCCAGTAGTAAATCTGCACAGCTGACTGTTCTGCTGTTTGATTTCAAGTATCTCTGGAAATCAGAATACATCTAAGAAAAATGAACAAACTGTGAAATTTGCAGTCGACCTTGGAGAAACCTGTGTGGGAGGAGCTCACAACAGGGGAGCAGCTAAGTGGCTTTTTTAAAGTAACCTTATTTTTTTTTATTTTTGTAAATCTACAATACTGAGTAGAGTGGGTTCATTTTTGATTATATGTTTTATTGAGATCTGTCCCTTGATTAAAAATTAAAAATATAAAATATAGGTACTAAGTTAGCCTAGAGCAGTGTTTTTTTTTGTGCATAAGACTGTGCTATTTTCTGGGTCTGTAGATTGTTAAGGTGCAAAGATGGCCTTTAGTAGAGTGATGTGCGCTTCCTGTTGGCTGTGGGAGACTAGGGAGATTTTCCATGTTACTGTTGATTATGACTGCGGGAAGTGTGTTTGGTTGCGAATCCTATCAGATTGCATGGGTTGGCTGGAGTGGCAGTTGGAGACAATGAGGAATTTACAGGATCTGGGGGGTGTGATGGATGGCAGTTACAGGAAAGGAGATAAACTGAAGGTACAGTCAGGTAGATGGGTTACGGCCAGGAAAGGTCGGAGAGGGAGGCAGGTAGTGTAGGAGTCTCCTGTGGCTATCACCATCTCAAACAAGTGTGTTGTTCTGGAAAATGCAGGGGATGATGGACTCTCAGGGGAATGTGGCACTGACAGCCAGGTTTCTGGTACCGAGACTGGCTATAATGTATCAAGGGCTACATCAGGTTCCAAGCGATTGATTATGGTAGGGAACTCTCTAGTCAGAGGTACAGACAGGCATTTCTGTGGCTGACACGAAGACATCAGAATGGTGTGTGGTCTCCCTAGCGCCAGGATCAAGGATATCTCGGAGAGAGGGCAAAGTATACTCAAAGGGGAGAGGAACCAGCAGGAGATCATTGTACACATTGGAACTAGTGACATAGGAAGAGAAAAGGATGAGACACTGAGGAAAGAATATAGGAAGTTATGCAGGAATTTAAAAAGGAGGTCTTCGAGGGTAGTAATATCTGGATTACTCCTGATGCCACGAGCTAGTGAGGGGAGGAATAGGAAGATGGAGCAAATGAATGCGTGGCTGAGGAACTTGTGCAGGGGAGAAGGATTCACATTTTTGGATCTTTGGAATCTCTTCTGGGGTAGAAGTGACCTGTAAAAGAAGGATGGCTTACACCTGAATTGGAAGGGGACAAATATACCGGCAGGAAGATTTGCTAGTACATACTTTGTTGAAATGGCACCACAGGTGGACAGGGTGGTGAAGAAGGCATTTAGCGTGCTGGCCTTCATCAGTTGAGGCATTGAGTATAGGAGTTGGGATGTTATGTTACAGTTGTGTAAGTTATTGGTGAGGCCGCACTTGGAGTATTCTGTACAGTTTTGGTCACCCTGTTATAGGAAAGACATAGTTAAACTGGAAAGTGTGCAAAGAAGTTATAAGAGGCTATTGGCAGGACTAGTAGGCCTGAGTTATAGGGAGAGGTTGGCCGAGATAGGACTTTATTCCTTGGAACATAGGAGAATGAGGGGTGACCTTAGTGAAGTGTATAAAATCATGAAGGGCATAGATAGGATGAATGCATATTGTCTTTTTCCCAGGGATGGCGAATTGAAAACTAGAGGGCATAGGTTTAAGGTGAGAGGGGAAAGATTTAAGAAGGACCTGAGGGGCAACTTCTTCACACAGAGAGTGGTGGGTATATGGAATGGGCTTCCAGAGAAAATGGTTGAGGTAAGTACAATAGCAACATTTAAAAAACATTTGGATAGGTACATGGATGGGAAGGGTTTAGAGGGATATGGACCAAATGCGGGCAATTGGAACTAGCTGAGTGGGCACCATGGTCAGCATGGATCAGTTTGGGACGAAGAGCCTGTTTACATGCTGTATTACTCTATGACTCTATGTCTCGAGAGCTGCTCGGGAGGATTTAAACTAGAAAGGGTGGGGGAAGGGCTGGTGGTGGGATGGAGGGACATAGTGAGGAAACAGACCAGTCTCAGTCTTGTACAGTTGGGAAAAGCAGCAAGTCAAACAGTCAGGGCAGGCAGGAACAAAGCAGCGAACAAGGTAGGACTTATAAATTAAACTGCATTTATTTCAATGCAAGAGGCATAACAGGTGAGGCAGATAAACTCAGGGCATGGTTGGGAACATGGGACTGGGATATCATAGCAATTAGAGAAACATGGCTCAGGGATGGACAGGACTGTCAGTTTAATGTTCCAAAGTATGGATGTTATAGGAAGGATAGAAAGGGGGGCAATGGCGGGGAGTGGCATTTTTGATTAGGGATAACATTATGGCTGTACTTAGGGAGGATATTCCTGAGAATACATCCAGGGTTATTTGGATGGAACTGAGAAATAAGAAAGGGATGCTCATCTTACTGGGATTGTGCTATAGACCCCCCAGTAGTCAGCGGGAAATTGAGAAACAAATTTGTATGGAGTTATCTTCAAGATTAATAGAGTGGTTATGGAGGATATAGAACAAAGAAAATTACAGCACAGGAACAGCCCTTCCGCCCTCCAAGCCTGCGCTGATCCAGATCCTCTATCTAAACCTGTCACCTATTTTCCAAGGATCTGTATCCCTCTGCTCCCTGCCCATTCATGTATCTGTCTAGATACATCTTAAATGACGCTATCGTGCCCGCCTCTACCACCTCCGCTGGCAACGCGTTCCAGGCACCCACCACCCTCTGCGTAAAGAACTTTCCACACGTATCTCCCTTAAATTTTTCCCCTCTCATCTTGAAATCGTGACCCCTAGTAATTGAGTCCCCCACTCTGGGAAAAAGCTTCTTGCTATCCACCTCTCATGATTTTGTAGACCTCAATCAGGTCCCCCCTCCATCTTTCTAATGTAAATGATCCTAATCTACTCAATCTCTTCATAGCTGGCGCCCTCCATACCAGGCAACATCCTGGTGAACCTCCTCTGCACCCTCCCCAAAGCATCCACATCCTTTTGGTAATGTGGCGACCAGAACTGTACACAGTATTCCAAATGTGGTTGAACCAAAGTCCTGTACAACTGCCAACTCTTGTACTCAATACCCTGTCTGATGAATGAAAGCATGCTATATGCCTTCTTGACCACTCTATCGACCTGCGTTGCCACCTTCAGAGTACAATGGACCTGAACACCTAGAACTCTCTGTGTATCAATTTTCCCCAGGGCTTTTCCGTTTACCAGATAGTTCGCTCTTGAATTGGATTTTCCAAAATGCATCACCTCACATTTGACTGGATTGAATTCCATCTGCCATTTCTCTGCCCAACTCTCCAATCTATCTATATTCTGCTGCATTCTCCGACAGTCCCCTTCATTATCTGCTACTCCACCAATCTTAGTGTCATATAGAATGTGGAGAAGTAAATGACAATATCTTCAAAATGTCCATATTACAGAGAAGGCGGTTCTGGATGGTTTACAACTCATAAAGGTGGATAAATCCACAGGACCTGATCAGTGGTATCCCAGAACTCCATGGGAAGCTAGAGAAGTGACTACTGGGCCTCTTGCTGAGATATTTGTATTGTCGATAGCCACAGGTGAGGACGTTATTTAAGAAAGGTGGTAAGGAAAAGCCAGGGAACTGTAGACCGGTGAGCCTGACATTGGTGATGGGCAAGTTGTTGGAGGGAATCCTGAGGTACAGGATTCATATGCATTTGGAAAGGCAAGAACTGATTAGGGATAGTCAATGTGGCTTCATGTGTGGGAAATTGTGTCTCACTAACGGAATTGAGTTTTTTGAAGAAGATGCCAGTGTCCAGGATGTCTGGGAGCGGCTGCAGAACATTCTTTCTTTCAATTCATTCATGGGATGAGGGCATCACTAGCTAGGCCAGCATTTATTGCCCATCCCTAATTGCCCTGAGGGCAGTTAAGTGTCAACGACATTGCTGTGGGCCTGGAGTCACATGTAGGTCAGACCAGGTAAGGATGGCAGTTTCCTTTCCTGAAGGACATTAGTGAACCAGGTGGGTTTTTCCAACCATCGGCAATGGATTCATGATCATAATTAAATTCATAATTCCAGATATTTATTGAATTCAAATTCCACCATC